ATTGAGCGGAAAATCTACTCGAGTGTATATTACACTGAGTTATATTTCACTTATGCAAGCGTTGGGTGAAAGATTTGCGTTGCGCTTGCACTGCAAGACTTTGTTGATAATGATTAGCACTACTACGGGCTTGACAACAAATCTGTCACATCCTCGATTAGTCTGGTCTCGAACGGTGCACACTGGAGACAGGTCGGCATCGAACTTGGGAGGATGTAGACGGCTGACTTCGAACTTGAAGGCACAGGGGATATGCTGGAGATGGATTGGCATCGAACTTGGCGTTTTGGGATAGTTTGAGTTGGTTGGCGTTGAAATTACGGTTTTAGTGTCGTGAGTGAAGCGACGAGTTCGTCGAACGCTTTTAGCAGTCGTCGTATGGGTTTCGCATTATATACCGTGTTCAACCAGAATTAATGGGAGGCATCTATCGAACAGACGACTTGCACCCATTCGTGCAGTGGTAGATGCTCGTTGTTATAGACGTGGCGAAGTAACTGGTGGCATGTTTAGCAAAAGTAATGATCCTCTCGGTACGTCGTGTGCCATCTGATACCGTTACCAACGTTAAGCCTAGGAAAAAAGGAAAGGAAAGCAGAGAAAAGAACTCCAGTCTTGTAGCAGTTTTTCTTGGGTTTTTTCTATAGTAGGTGTATGCTTTTTCAGGTTGAGAAGCACTCCTTCAGATGCCACTCCAAAAGTTACAGTTGTATCGATTGTCAAGTCTGTTTCACGTAAGTTCTTTGTACGATTCTCCATTTATCATTGCTTGGTTTTTTTCCCCATTCATTTTGTCTTTTTAAAGAAACAAAGTTAAAACAGCATAAAAGGCTGCAAGTGGCTGCAATCATTTTTGGATCTACTGCTCATTGAATCTAGTTTTTATGTACAAATTGCTCTTAACATTAGTTTATCTTTGTTTTCCCGATCTTGAAGCTTGTGTTGAACTTTCTTTTTCAGACCTTACACGTATCAACAGCACGTAAAATGCATTACCGAAAATCAAAAGTACGGCTCGAAAACCTACGTCGAAAAGGAAGCAAAGGTGCTGTTATGGCTTATTTTTTTGAAGTCTTAAAATACGTTCTTAGGGAGAACTAAAGCAAAACGCATGGTGTGAGCAGGTGGAGCGAGCTATCGAATTTGTCAAAGATCCAAAACTGAAGGGTTTATTACAGAATATCCAAGGGTATAGCAACATTCCACGCAAGGTTTGCTTTTGTTAAGGACTATTATTTGACTTTTTTTTGTCACAGAAAGCGCTTTTTAGGAAGCAAAGTTCATAAATTTCTTGACAAATTCTTGTCGTATACGGGATACCACTCTATGCAAAATGGCTTGGAAAGCTATAGCCGATGAAGCAGAGAAATTGAAGAAAGAAGAGCAGGCCAAGAAAGACGCGGAGGCTGAAATAGCTAAAGAAGCAGAGGTAGATTTGAGGAAAAACGTGGCTTCCTTAGGCTCTGCAAGTTTATTTCCAGAAAGCAAAGCAGTCTTCATCTGAAACTAGACCGACCGACGAGAACGGCAATGAAAAGGCGAATGGAAACGAGGTTTGTCGAAATTCTATACATTACCCGTTGACTTGTAAAAAGTTGTAGTTTTGCACCGTAGTATCAAGTATTTTGTTACGGTAAGTAGTACCATGATATTTTCTTTCCTTTCAATTAGCTGTTTTCCAACCGTCTCCTTTCCCACATTGACATGCATTTGTGGAAAATATGTTTGGAGACCAAAAGTTTTCCTTATAATTATTGCTTACGTCTCACAAAGTCTTGTTTCATTTTTTATTTTCTGCATCTTCCTTCTTTCTGTAAATATTCCCAAAGGTAAATTTGCGAAGGAGTCTCTGTGCTGATTTACTAGTATGATGAATGTATACTTTTTCAAAATTTCTGAAGACTAATACTAATACCTTAGCACCCATTTTGAACATTTTTAAGTGAATATGAACAGCTTTGCTTCCAAGAATCTTTAGGATCTTTAACAAGAGAACCATTTAGATGATTTCATTTTAGAATGCAGCTCCTGCTACCAATTTCAAGTGGAAAGCTACTATAAAACGGAAATTGCGTGAAGCTGGTGGGGAAATGAAGGTGCGACTTTGTTCACTTTTTAGGAATACTTCGTTCTCATTTCCTCACCCTTGAATTTTTGTTTCAGGTTAAGAAGTTGCGCAAGATGGTAGTTGGAGCATATCATGAAGCGGTTGGCGATGATGAAGGAAGTGACGAGCTCAAGGAGCTATTCATGGCGAAATTAGCTAAAAGTGGAGTGACAGTGGACGGAAAAATGGCTTCACTGGTTACTTGATCAGTGAAGCCGAACTTTTTTGATTGTTTTTTTTTGTAGATGTCTGTTGCTATATACATTGACATATATCACCCGTTGTTACGTTGATTTGTTGTTGTTATGAACAGAATTTAAGAAGTGGTAGGAATAAAATCCCTCGATAATATTTGTCACATCTGTTGTCTGGTTTATAGGCCATGCCATATGGTCAGCTCGCGCCTCGTACCCATCTGATCTGTAGTTTATTATAACAGAACCTATTTATGACTTTGAAGGGATTTTTTTTTTCTATAAC